TCTCATCTGAGAGCATGTAACATGAAAGCTGACAATTTAAAAATGAATGAATGCGAACATTGTTGTCGCAGTGCTTTGCTGAGACACTAATAAACGAGTGATGACAGGAAGCCAGATAGTTCATTCCATATCTTTAGAAGTATGAATAATTATTAAGCTAAACTAGCAAACTGTATGGAGTAATACGCTGAAAGTGGAAGACCTAAAAGCAAGGGTGATCCCTTGTGAAAATATTCCTATCTGGGCTGTTCATTGGCAAACAGTTTGGAGTTGGCTGGACTGTGACTGCTTTAAAAAACAGCTGATCAAAAGGAGAGCTGCAGAAGCATGGAACATGTGCACCTTTTCAGAGCTGCTGTTTGGCTTCTTTTGTTGGCAGCTGTGACAGGGGAAATACTGGCAGAAGATATAATGAGATACTAATTTCTCATGGAAGTACCATGTTTACCTGATTGTTAAAGAGGAGAACAGATAGCAGAATAGGATTATATGAAGTGTATGTTGTTTCTACGCTAAGTCTGTGGAATTGCACAATAGCTGAGGTTAGAAAGAGCCTGTGGAGACAGTCTGGTCTAATAGCCTCCCCTCAACGCAGAGTTGACTAGAGCAGGTTGCTCAGGGCCATGTCCAGACTGTTCTTGATTATCTCCAAGATGGAGACTTCAGCCTCTCTAGGCAAACCCATTCCAGTGTTTGCTGTTACAGTGTTAAAAAAAAAAAATATTGTTTACATGGTATTTTCTGTGTTTCAATTTATGCCCATTGCCTGTTGTCCTTTTACTGGGCATTGGTGGGAGTAGTCTGGCTCTGTCTCCTTTACTCCCCCTGTCAGGTAATTATATGTGTTGATAAGGCTTCCCCCAAGCCTTTTCTTCTCAAGGTTAAATAATCCGAAGGTTAAATAATCTCTCATTCTGTCTTCATATGCGCCAATCTAACAGATGCTCTGGTCTGTTAGTAGGCTCTGTGGCCTCCTTCTGTACCCGCTCCAGCATGTCCATGTCTCTCTTGTACTGGACGCCATAACTGGACACAGCGCTTTGGATGCGTCTAACTCAGGCTGAGTAAAGGGGAAGGATCACCTTCCTTGGCCCACTGGCCGTGTTTTTCCTAACACAGCCCAGGGTGCTGTTGGCTGCCTTTGCTGCGAGGGCACATTGCTGTCTCATGGGCAACTTGTTCACCAGGACTCCCAGCTTCTATTCTGCAAGCTGCTTTCCAAGCTGTTGCTCTCCATCATGTACTGGTGCATGTGGTTGTTCATTCCCAAGTGTAGGACTTGGAATTTCCCTTTGCTGAATTTCCTGAGGTTCTTGTTTGCCCATTTCTCCAGGCTGTTGAGGTCCCTATGAATGGCAATACAGCCATCTGGCATATTAACAACTCCTCCCAGTTTTGTATCATCTGCAAACTTTGGAGGTGCACTCTGACCCATCATCTAGGTCACTAATGAAGATGTGAAACAGTTCAGGTCAACGTCTTTTCCCACTGAAGCAGAAAAGATGCAAGATTTTTTTTTTTCTTTTTCATATTTGGTTGCACTACTTTATTTTTTCCCATTTATAAGCTTCACGATAAGTTGCTGGTTTTTAACATAGCTTTGTACTTTGATATTATGAGCCACAGTATTTTTGTCAAAGCTTTGAACATATAGCAGCAAAAGTTGTTCAGTGAAAGTGGTTCAGGCAGAACTTGAGAGGGACAGAAGTAACAGAACTTGTAACATCTAATGCACTGTCAGTACATCAGTGTACAAAAAAAAAAAATAGGGCACTTGTAGATCGTTACATGATTTCTAAAGTGCTTTTCAAGTAGAAGGTTGACACAATAAGCTAAACATGGATATTAGTAACAGTTGGCTTTGTACTAACTCAGTGTCCACAGTGGTATCTCATGCTAAATCTGCCTCAGACTGGGTGCTGTGACTCACCGAGTGTGCACTGAATGTCCACGCCGAGCATTCGTGTGCTGCTGAATTATGTGCTTCCTGTTTCGACACATCTCGCATGCATGTTGGCAAACAAGCGTGACACCTTTTGTACTGCTGCGCTGGTCTTCTGCACTGGGCTCTGTGTGCCACTGTGTTTTGAGAAAAATCTGGTACTGTCAGACTTCAGAAGAAGTTTGACATTGGAAAGCTGCTAAAGTAGGAGTTGGCTCCTGTGGGAATCAGTCTCTCTTCCACGCCTGCCCACTCCCTATAAAACGCATTTTAAAGTGATCAATGAAGGAGGAAAACACAGTAAAAGGCAATAAGTAACAGTGTGGACATGAGCTAGAGATGTTGCTTGATTATCAGTACTCCAATGTGCCTGTAGGAAAATACTTCAAGAAAAATACTCTCAAACATTTTATGGTAGACCTCCTGTTAGTTTCTTCAAAGTGAATGTTTATCTGATGTTCCAGTTCACAGTTGCAGCATACTTGATTTGTAGTGTTTTCACAGGACAGTGCCCTGTGATCTTGTGGGTTTGGTTTGTGTACATTTTCTGGTGTAGAAATAATATGTTTTTATGGTAGCTAACATGTTGGGGTCTCTGAATGTTGACATAAAGCAAGAATATCTGTGAAATCTTTGATTCTTTGCATAGTGAATGTTTTCCAAGAGCTGGGAAACAGGACTAAAGATGAGCTTCAACCATTTGCTAGATAACGTAATAGGAAAATGCTTCACAACTTAGTGTGACAGGAGTGGAGCTCTTACTGGCTGTGATGGACCACCCGGAGTTAGTTTTTCTTACCTCTCTAAACCTCTTCCCATGGTCTTTCAATTCAGTAGTTCCTGTATTAATTAGCATAACAGTGCACCTTTTGGGCCTACAGATTTAGGGAAGTACTCTTTTGGCAGATGGGTATTGCTATAAGGGCATGCTGGCAAAATCCATTAGTCCTTGTGAACTTAAGAAACTGCCTTCATTGTACACTTGGTCCCCCCATAGCTTACAGCCTGAAGATACACTATATAGGAAGTACTTGCTAACCCAGAATGTGAAATACACTGTGTTACTTGATTACTTGCAATACATTATTGCTTATTTAAATAAAGCAAGTCTTTGTTAAAAATATCTTTATTTTGATAGCTGGTAATTTAAATGCTTCACAACCTACTTTTGATTCACCTCAGCCTTTTGTGAGTGCTCTGTGGATTACCTTGAGTTATAAACTAGTGAGAACTAAAACAAAGCAGGTAATATATTGAGTAGAACTTTGGTGATTCATATATTCTGATACAGCTCTGCTGAATGAATAATCCTCAATTATTTGTCTGAGGAGAAATGCTGTCACTTCAGCTGGAATAGGTTATTTTGGGAGCAATTTGATTGGAAATGGGATCTCTAGCCTATAGGCCCCAGCTGGTATCATGGTGTCTGGACTGCGCAAACATACAGGAGGACAATGACCTCTTCCATTTAAAGATGTGATAATGTGATTAAAATGAACAAATATTTGGAGAAGAAAGAAGGATCAAAACAAACGAAGGGACTTGCTCAGGACACAAACCTGCTGTGTGACCTTAGCTTAGCAACTCGACTGCTTTTTTGGGTAGGGAGGAATGCGTAGGTTTTTGTTAGTACTTAAATATTTCTACTAAAAGGAGAGAAGTGAAGTAGTTTCTTTTGAAGCATGCGTCCAAGATGGCAGCTATAAACGAGTGTAGTGAAAACAACTGGTCCTTGATGTCCCTAGTGTGGCTTTAGATGGGACTCTAAAATGGCTGTCAATTTGCTTACATAAGGATGTAAGACAGTTATATAAAACTGTCAAATGTTTTTTTTTAAAGCATTTAATTTTGTTGTTGGAAGCCTTGTTCAAAAGTTTGTAATGTATTCAGTATTAAGTTACTAGCAGTTTGTGTGAAAGGATAATATTTTGAAGGATTATAATTGATTCTGTTGAGTAAGTACATTTGTAGCAGATGGATAGTCTTAAGAATTTTTGGTGCTAATTCTCTCCTGTATTGATGTAGCAGCTTTGAATATTATAATGATATTTTCTTTCTAGAGACAGCTGCTCTAGAATATACAGTACTGTCTTCCTGAGTTGTAACACTGACATGTTTTTAACTACGGAAAGCTACTAGGCTTTACACTTCAAAAACATTGAAATTGTTTTTAAAAATAACTGTTTTTTAAAAAATCCAAATCAGCTGCAACTGCATTTAGGCTTATGAAATTATTTTGTCTGTTTTGATCTGTATCTTTTCAAGAGTTTATATTAATTCTTGTGCCTAATTAAACCTAAATCTAGCCATTATTCTAAGCCTCTTATTCCTGAAATACATTACCTTTCCTTTAACTTTGTTTTCCTTTTCTGATTTTGCCCAGAACAAGGAAAAAATATTACTATTTCCAGGCTTTGATAAGCGGTACACATCAGAAGAATTCATTCTGTGAATAAGTGGTGATATAATTTACATTTTGGATGAGTTCAGTGACAAGTAATGATGCTGACTCACTTCTGAAATAATCCAAGAGTTATAGAGGAAGAAATACAGTGTATAAAATACAGAATTTCAGTAATTCTGATGGAAATGCTTGATTGTTATTGGTTGAAAATTTGCAGTAGTTTATTGTACCCTGCCTCATGTATCACAGATGTCCTCTACTTTTCTGTTTTGTTGAAGGTGAGCATGGTGATCTAATTTAGTCTCAAGGAAGCAGTTTAATGCTCCAAGGTGTTTCTTGCTCAGTGTACCTTCTCTTCACACTGTTTGTTTATTAAAACTATTTAGGAGATGCTTAATTTTTCTTCCATATTCCTATGCTTCCTCTTTCCTCTTGCATAAGGTAGAGCTAAGTTGTCTTTGCTTCTGTGTTTTTTGAAAGACAGTTTCATCACTGCACTTCTCTCTTTTTTTCCCCTATCTACTGTGGCTAGGCTTAATTTCATATAAGGGTGCAATGTATGGCATTTGAAAAAGCTTATTTATACCTCAGAAAGCCTTCAACTGAATTATCTTGGAGACCTGTAGATTCATACAAATCTCTGGTGCTTTTCAGGTGTTATAAGCTAACACAATTGAGGAGAGGAGGCACATCATTTTTCTGACCCTTGAAAGGAGAGCATAGTTCTGTAATGGTTCCCCCCACCTAATCTGGTAGGACTCTTATTTTATTTTTCTTTGAACTTTTTTTTTTGTTCTTACTAGTTACCTGACTTCATGTACTTGAAAAGATTTTTTTAAAAAATCCATTTCAAATTCCTTCCTGCCCATGATTCAGTTCATTTGAAAAGATACACAATGTTTGTGTTTAAAGAAATTCTACATTTTATGTGGCAAGGAGTTGCTTTCAGTGTGAGATTGTAATGTTAAAGAAGGGTGATTCACACAGACATCAGTAAAATCGGGATATATAGTTAAAACTTCCCTGCATATGAGTTGGTACTACTGTCAAGTGAGACCTGATTAATTTCTTTCTCCAAAATACAGGAGGAAATCGGATGTTCTACAGAATTGGAAACCTATGGAAAAGATGTTTGTTGTCCATACTGTTTTCTGTGAAAGTCAGTTTTTAGAAAATAAACCTTTGAAAATCATGGTAACAGGAGACTGTGGAATAATTAATGGTCTTACTTTCACCACCAAATAATTCTTCCTTCAATTGTGATGACTTTTTTGAAGTATCACTCATACTCTATAATTTGCAATGACCAAATGATAGCTATACAGACTGGGGTTTACTTTCTATTTTTTTCTGCTACACCTAAACTAGTTTCCTATATGTAGTCACTGTGGGGTGGAAACTCTTTGATTAATGTTGTGGTCTGAAAGAAACTGTTTTGGTTTTAGTTTCCACTTTTATTTGGAATACTTTAGGCTTGAATCTACCTAAGTGAAGAAGGAATCTAGCCTATGTTGTAGGATGTGACCTGATCAGTTTGAGAACTGGTGTGCTAAAGGTCTAATGTAAGGCTAAAGACTTGTGGGAGGATGAAGGCTTACATTTTTCACAAAACTTCAATTATGAAATAAACATGTGCAATTCAGTCTTTCAGTGTTACTGTGTACCAGTTAGGAAAACTTGTGGACAGCATCAGCATTTAAAGTTTCATGCATTAGCCATTACACGTTGGCCTCACATCCTATACCTCTAAAGGAGTAGAAATGCAGGATGTAACGCTCTTTATAAATAAGCTTGTTTGGCTTAGGGAAAATCTTTCTCCTGCGCCCAGTTTTCCCTTTAATTCTCTGGAAATTTTCTGATAAATGCTGGTAAACAATTTTTTCCTGAAGTAGTCTGAGGATCTTTTTGGATAGCTGTGAAGAAAGACAAAGTAGAAGACTTTGTTTCAGTGCTTCTACTTTCTTAAGTAAAATTTTAGTGAGATTCTTAATACATACAATTTACTTTTCCCTTCCAACCAATGGCTTATTGATGCAGGAATACCATCCTGACTAATCAGATATGGAATAATGTACATCAGTTAATGTGACTTTTAAAAAGGAAAGTCATGCCTGGCAAAGATATTGGATGTCTATGTTTTAAAAAAGCAAAAAGAGGTGGTGGTAGATTTGGTTGATAGTTTATTTGTATTACTGAATGTTTTTTGGAAGTATCTGTTACCAGGAACTCTTGAAAGAAAGAAGACAGAAGTCTTTATGTGGATAGGTAACTGGGCAAGGTAAGAAAGAAACATCAAGATTTAGTAGCCAACCTCTGTAGTGGAAGAAGGTTAGAGTTAGTGTTCTGCTAGCATCTCTGCCGGTACTGCTGTTCAGCTGTTTGAACAGCCTGGAAGAGGGAGAGTGAATGCTGAGATGATCTAGTTTCCTTGATGGTACTAAGGTAATCGAGATATTACAGGTACAACCCAGGTGTGAAACATCAGAGGGATAATGAGAGACTGAATTGGCTATTAAAATAGATTAAATTCAGTATAGACAAGTGTAGTGTGATACAGTTTTTAGGTATGGTGGAAAGAAAAACAATGTATGCAATAACTGAGTTGGAAACTATCACTGTTGCTCAGTGGGATCTTGGGGGTTTTAGTGAATATTTTCTGGGAATGATCAGGTTAATGTTGACAAACTTAGGACAAAAATGTTGCAAAAGGGAAGTATGGAGAACCTCAGTAGGTAGCAATGAAAATCCATGGCTGCTTCTTCTCCCAAGTAGTATGAGTTACTCTTATTTTCTGCCTTTCCTCATTCTAAAAAGGATGTAGTAGAACTGGAAAATGTCTACAGAAGGGCGAGAATTATTAGAGATAAAGAATGGCTGTCTTCAAAGAATGGTTTAGAAAGAGCCTCTTCAATCTCAAGAGACATGAGAGGCATAGAAGAGAGTGAATGTTCCCTTTTTTCCTCCAAGAGAAAAACAAAAGCATTTCAAATTAGGCTAGTAGTTGACAAGTCAAAACCAAGGAGTGTTTCTTCACACAGTTGGTGAGGATGTGAAATGTCTCACCACAGGATGTTGCAGTGCTAAAATTCTACAGGTCAACGCCAACCAGCAGAGTTCATGGGTGAGAAACACCCTGTGGTGTTTGTGCTATAAAACTGCCACTTCTGTCTCAAGAAGCCCAAAGAGATTATTTGGGATTAGTAACTTTGTTCTTGGCTTTTTTTTTTTTTTCCCCAAGTGCCATCCCCTTTCTGGGTATTTTCAGAGAAAGGGTAATGAGAGAGGAAGGACTTTTGGTCTTACCTGATATGGCCATTCAAATCTTCACGTAGAGATGAGTTTGGTTTCTAAATTAGCAGTGGGGTTCTGTAATCCAGTCTCTTTCTAAATTCTAATTTCTAATTCATAAAATTAAAGCAGGAAAGGACCTCTGCAGACAGTATAGTTCAGGCTTCTGCTCAAATCTGGACTAACTTCGAAGCTAATTTGATTTGCTGAGGGTCCTGCCTAGTTCTGAAAGTTTCCAAGGGTCGAGACTCCAACCCCTCTGGGTTGCTGTTGAAGTGTTTACCAGCTCTTCTGGTTAAAATATTTTTTTCCTTATGTCCAGCTGCAGTTTTCTTTGCTGCCAGTTGTCAGCTCTGCCTCCTTCCTTTTTGCTCTGTAACTCGGAGTAAAGTCTGGTGAGCTCTTATCTATGACCTTCACCTTTAGGTAGTGGAAGACTTTTATCAGATTGTGCTGCTCCCAACTCCCTGTAGCCGTCTCTTCCACAAGTGAAACAAGCCTGCCCCTCTCAGCCTCTCTTTGAATTGTGTATCCTCCAACCACCTAACCACTGTGGTGGTAGCCTTCTGAATTCTTTCCAGTTTGTCAACATCTCTTTTGTGGGGGAAAGGAAGCTTGTGGGGTGTCCTGAAGGCCACACTCAGTATTCCAGATGAGTCTGCATGAGTGCAGAGCATAGAGAACAATTGCTTCTCTCAACCCACTGCCTTTAGTCTTGCTAATGCAGCCTGATATGTGGTTAACTTTTATTGCTACAAGAGTCTGTTGCTGATTCATGTCCAACCTGCTGTCCATCAGAACTTCATCATCTTTTTCTGCAGAAGTGGTCCTAGTCAGTTATGCCACAGCCTGTGCTAATGGGTGGGGTAGTTTTGTGCCACATGCAGGGCTCTGTTTTTTGCCTTAATTGCATTTTGTAAAGTTGTGTGTTTCTCCAGCTTGTCATTTCTTCTGAACAGCAGCTCTGCCACTCAGCATTATCAAGCACTCCACCAGTTTGTCATTCTCTGTGAGCTTTTTGCTTGTGTGTTCTGTTCCATAGTGTAAGTAGTTGAAGAAGTCATGAATGTTGGAGCTGATAACATTCCTTGGGAATGAAGCAGTACTTGTAATTGGCCACCAGGTAGATTTTGAACCACTGACCATTATTCTTTGAGCCGCGATGTCCATTTAATCCCTAACATGTTGTATTCCAGCCATTCACTCCATGTCTCCCCAGTATGTCTACAAATTTACTCTGGGATACCATGTCAAAAACCTCACGAAACTTAGCATGAAAGACTGCCAGTACGCTCCTCTCATTCAGAGGTAGTCATTTCATGACTTGCTTGACGGTGTTGTCAAGCAAATCTAAACTGGCTATTCCCAGTCAACTTTATGAGCTTGGAAATGGCTTCCATCTGAATTATTTTTCTGTAGCTTTCCCAAGAATTAAGATGAGGCCTGTAGTATCCATGATCTTCCAACTTCTCTATTTGGAAGCGAGGCAAGAAACTTGCCCTTTTCAGTCATTGCAGACTTTCCATGTTCACCATGACGTTTCAGAGATGACAGCAGCTTTACAGTGTCATTGGTGAGCTTCCTCCCTTCTGGTCCCACGTACCTGTATATCTTTAGCTTGCTTTAGACTTCTTGTGTGAATTCTACCTCTCCCCCCAGACTCAGTTGCTCATACCTGATCAGGAAGGCTTAGGAGAAGACCTTACTGATAAAGACAAATAAAGCATTTAGTACTGAGGCTTTCTGTTGTCTTTTGTTGCTAGGTCACAAACTCAATTCTGTAGATGCTTTTCTTCATCTTCCTTATGCTGCTCATCTCCCTCTAAAGTCCTTGTAATTACAATTGCTTATTACTTTGAACGTTAGCTAAATAAAGTGGATGTATATGTTGGCCATGATGGTAGCGAGTGCTGGATTTCTAGCTGTGACTCAGAATGCTTTTCCTCCATCATGGCTCGAGGACTACAACACCTCTGCAGAGAAGATCATGCCATAATTTGTATTTCTTTTGTTATCTTGTACTTTATCTCAGACAGATTGCCCTTCAACAGTGTGTGCCTTTACTTTGTTTGGAAACCCCAGGTGCTGAGTGAGTGTGTGTGTCTGTCATGGAAGCTGCGAGTGTGCGTTGAGGCTAAAACATTGCCACATTCTCAAGATGCCGTTAAGCTGCTTAGTGGAATTCAAGGTGCTAAAATCAGCATAAGAAGTCCAGTCTGGTTGTCTGATTCCCACCAACTTAAATACCATTGAAGTAGTAGAGATTTTTAAGCTTTGATCACTGTAATAATGAACTTCTGTGAGGGGAAAATGTTTTGCATTCAGCTCTCCCTTTCTATATTGTTAAAGGCAATAGAAGGTATGTTCTCATGGCACATTTTTTAAAGCAAATTTTCTCTGAGCCTGTAGAAAAAAGCATGGGCTGAGGTGAGAGTACTTAGGGCAGTCTGTTTCTGGGCTGCAT